ATTATGTGTGTGCCTTGTCCTCCAAGGACACACACACACACACACACACACACACACACACACACACACACACAGACACACACACACACACACTCCATCTCACAAACACCGGTTCTTTTACAACACTTCCTAAACAGGGGAACTTCCCACAACATACTGTACAACGTGTTATTTTAATAAACACACAATGACATTTATATGACAACCTGCTGAGTAAATACACAGATGATTACAGATTAGGCTGAGCAAACTGTTCCTTTGCTGAGGTTTCTTTCTCACACAGCATGTGGCAAAATACATAGCATGACAAGAAAATTAAAGCTGCAGTCACCACAGGGGGTGTAAGCAGACCTACTAGTGGTGTGGTATGAAGCTAAATGCTTGTTTGTAAATTCTATGTGGATAAAATGTATATATATCTTCTATTCATTTTTATACTTTTACATTATTCTATTTATTGTACAATTATTTTGAAAAAAAAAAAAACTATGAAAATTATTATTTTTTAAATACAGTTTTAATATTTAATGTTTATTTAATCAAAAATAATTATAAAATGATTTATGGTAATAATCTGTATTTAACATATTATGTAAGATTGTGGGTAAAACCACTTTCTCAAACTGATAAGACTGTCCAAAAGCATCCAAATGCTGCTAGTTTCCTGTTGGTCATTGCGCTCATGCTGTTTTCCAGATGGCTCACCTCTCCATCTCATCCTCTCTGTTGAGGATCTCCATGTGACTGTCCTTCAGACGGAGATAGGTGAAGCCCAACCTGAACAGGTGAGAGAAAAGGAAGGCAAACTTAGTGTGTTATTGTGATGAAGGGTTAAGATTAGACACAACAGTATGCACAGCAAATGTAGGGTTCAGAAAATGGTCATAAAAATGTTTGGACTGTTTAGGGTTAGGGTTATGCAATCCCAAAGTGAGACACAGTATGCCAAAACCTGGAGGCTAGAGTATAAATTATCGTGGGTCTGTGTGATTGCATGCATCTTGCCTGTTCATGCCCTCCACCAGCGCAACCTCATCTGGAGAGGAGGAGATGTAGAAGGAGGTGGATTTGCCCTGATGGATTCCTCTCTTAATGCCATCCACCGTCTCCTCTTCCTTCACCTGGACTGTGTGACAGAGGCACAGCGCACGGAAAAACAGCTCCTCTCGCTCCTGATGAGACACACACATACACACGTTTGCACTGAAATACTGCACACAAAGCTGCTGCTTTATTCTTAAAGCAAAAATACTTTTGAAAACAGTAAAACATTACTTTTAATAATAATAATAATACGTAATGGCACAAGGCAATCCAGGCATCACACACACACACACACACACACACACACTATTTCCCTTTACTTAAGAGTGAGTCATCTCAGTAGAACAGAATCATTCATCTGTTTCCTCACACACCAGAAGAAAGGAAGACAGAGAGACTAGCAAAAAGAGATTAAGTGACAGAGAGATAAAAGGAGAGAGAGGCTATCTGTGTCTAACTCTGAACAAAATGCAGTCAATACTCATGTATCCAGGAAATATTTGGATACAATATGATACAAGTAGGCATTAAAAATCTCAACAACAGTGAACTCTGATATTTCACTTTATTATGCACATGCACACAATATAATTCTAACAGAAACTATTTTGAGTTTATCCAAACTGCTATTCATAAAAATCACATTCAAAAACACAACTGACAAGAGATGTGATGGGAAATTTAACAAGTTACAAATTCTTTAATAGATGGTTTAGCTAATCTGCTCAATTAATGTCACGTTGCTCTAAGCTCATTTATCAAAGATAAAATTAGAATCCATCCATCTTTCCACTCATCCACAGCTAAAACATTCATACAAAAACTTGCCTTTGCGATAATATGATTTATCTGTGCAATGAAACATAACTCGCCGCTCACAATAACACGTTCATTCTCTCATTATACAAAAGTTTTTATAGCTTCTTTATCAAATGTCTACAGTGGTCCAAAGTGTATCTGCATACTTAAGTCACACTTAATAATAATGAAATGTCATGGTATTAGATAAAAAAAAATACATAATGTGTTTCTTTTGAATAAAGATGGGGAAACTTGAAGTAATCCGACTTTATATTTTCATAAAGAATCACGTCAGGTATGTTAGATATTTGTTTTAATACTTTATTTATTTATTTATCTACTGCTTTTTAAGCATGTAAAATATACATTTTAAATTTGTGTTTTCTATTTCAATATATTTTAAAATGCAATTTTTTTGCTGCTCAAGAAACATTTCTTCTTATCATTGTTGAAAACAGTTGTGCTACTAAATAATTTTTTGGAAACCATGATACATTGTACATTTATTCTTTTTTGAAATTGAAACCTTTTGTAACAGTGTTTCCTGTCACATTTGCTTGCAAAATAAAAACATATATATATATATATATATATAAAAAAAAACTGACTCCAACTTAAAAGTTTAATATATGTTCAAATACCCACTGAACTGTGATTTTCCAACAGTTATGGAAACACAGAAAAACAGAAAACAAGCTCACCTTTCCATCTACGCCAGGAGAGGAGTCGATCATATCCATTCCGGCAGCTCCAGGTAAGATCTGCCCATTACAGACAGCATGTGGCACGTAAACATGCCCATCCACACAACATTCCCTCAACTCCATGTTATTTTCTGTCAAAGTGCCAGTCTTGTCTGTGAAGACATATTCCACCTGTGATGAAGAAAAAACAGAAACAGTGAACCAATAATGACCCTGGGAGCAGTTTTGGAGTGGACTGAAGAGGTTTCCTACCTGTCCAAGTTCTTCATTAAGATCTGAGGTATTGACGAGCGGTCCCTCTCCGAGCTCCTCATCAAACATGTCATCGTCCCACAGGATGAAGTATGAGCCAAGGAACTTCTGCATCTCCACAGTCACATACATGGACACAGGAATGATGTAGTTGAACAGAACCATGAAGGCAAGGAAATCTGTGAATGCCCGGATTAACTGAAGGGACAAAATGCAGGGAATTAAATAAGTGTGAGTTTGTGCAATTGTTTTGCTTTGATGGTGTTAATGACATGAAAGCATAAAATATAGTTAGCATATACAATGGAGGCCATCATTTGGAATAATTACGATTTTTAATGTTTTTGAAAGTCTCTTATGCTCACTGAGGCTGCATTTATTTGATAAAAAAATAAAGTAAAAACAGTAATATTGTGAAATATTATTACAATTTAAAATAACTGATTTCTTTTTTAATACATTTTTTAAAATGTTATTAATACTATAAAGTGATTATAATGATTTGCTGCTCAAGAAACACATCTTATAATTATGTATAAATAGTACATAAAGTAGTACAAAAATATATCAAATTAATTTTAATAAAAACAAAAAGTTTTCACACCAACAGAATTTGTCATTCTCTGAAAAAGCAAAATTACTTACAATTAAAAAAAATAAAACAATAAATATATAAAACAAAACAATAAATAACAAATATAAAAATAATAATAAACTGTAATAAATGATTAAAAAGTAAAAAAAAAAGAAAAATATAATAATAATAAGCATTGTTTTATAGCACGTACTACATGCCGTTGCCTCTCAGTCTCAGTTTTCTGGTTGTACCAGGGCTCATCTCTGTTTGGGTTGGCCTGCCAGGCATACTTCAGGACAGTATTGATCAGAGCTTTACTGATCAGAATGCAGAGGTACACAATCAGGTAGGCGTTCATAGACCTGCAGGACAAAAAGCGATGAGATGATCCAAGACACGTAGTATGAGCATAATAATTTTTGGACCTAGTGGCAAAGACACATATCATACATCAGGGTGACAAGTTTTAACCGCAGTAACTTTCCCTGAGGGTCTCTGAGTTTAATATCCCTCTTTTTCAGAAAAAAAAATCTCCTGTCCGAATGACATCTACAATATTAAATTAAATTAAGTCAAAAAAAAAAATCAACATTTATTTGATTGAAAAAGTCAATGTTATCCAAACTCTGAAAGGAGATCTCTGAAAGTACACCTGCTTATTCAATATAAACATATCTTACGTGTTTTCTTAATGGCTGCATCTATCTGTCTGACAGAATTGCCAGCGAGACACATGTGAGCGCAACTTGATACAAATTGTGACATCAAATACAGAAGCCCGCAATTTGCTTTACAAACAGCACACTAAATGCATTACCCTGTACATGCTGACAGCAAGATAAACTGATCGAAAGCCTATCACCGTGTCTTACTTTTCAACAGCGGAGCGTTTCTGAGACTTGGACTGGTAGTTGAGGGCCATCTTGGTTTCCATGCCCGTATAGATGGCCACAGCTAGAGAAACAAGAGAGGATGAAGAGCATTTTGAGATCATAATTCCCTCTGTACAGCCTCTTTGACGCTATGATAATATAAAAGCCACTGTTACATAACTGAGCTCTTTTTGTCCTACCGTACGGTGCCATTACGTCATAATGGCTCGGCTCTAACAAAGTTAAACATTTTGGCTACATTCACACTGTCAGATTTGAGATTGACAACCGCATTTTCTTTACAGGTGTGAGTCTCGAAATGTCACATTCACACAGCAGCTTACAGTTGTGTTTAGAATACTGTCTGTATGAACGTGCAACTGGAGTCAAGCCCGTATTCCTTAGCAGTAACCATAGCGACAGTGACCAAAGTAAAATCAAAGATGGTCACGTCCATAAAACTGAAAGTCTTATCACTTCCTGACACGACAAGAGTCCAATCGAGCCGCAAGTTCTTTTGTCAAATCTTCATTAACCGACAGCAGCTTTTATATTTGGGTGGAGAGCGGAGCATTTGAATCATGCGCAGAACACAAAACTGACGGGATCTAAAACTTTCAGATGACACCCAGCTAATTTCTCTGTTACTGTAAGTTACCGAAAACACACATGAAAATCCGTAACACACATAGATGTGCATTTGTGCAGCAGAGCGGCTTTCTCTCGCACTGTATGACGTGACAGACTAGTTGTCCAGTCCGGTTCCGTTCACACAGCGCGTGTGTTCCGAGAATGCGGTTGTGAGTCCTGAAAATTTACAGGTGTGAGTTCGGTTACAGAATGCGGTTGTCACACCCGTAAATAACCGAACTGTGTGTGAACGTAACCGTATTAAAGGACTCAAATACAGGACTGACAACTGTATTCTGCTGCTGTGTGAACGTGACCTTTGAGAGCTTGCCCTGCTCTTAGAATCCTCACGTGTATACTGTGACATTCATCTCCCTCTCTCGCCCTTTCTCTCTCTCTCTCTCACTCGCTCTCTCTCTAGCAATTAAGAACTTCTTTCTGATCTCACAAGCCTCAGTGACTCAATTAATTACAGTGGGAACGGAGTGACAAAACGACTCAATCAGCAACTCTCCTCTCTTGTTCTCCTGCCCTTCCTATTGCCTAAAAAAATCACATTAGCATTGTGCCAGATTATAGTGATGGATCTTAGCATAGACATCAATACAATTAGACTGAGTGCAAACAGTGTTCCTAAGGAACATACAAACTAATACATACTGTATATATACCTTGAATCGACTGCAAATATAATTAATGTGTATGTGCATAAATGAAACATAAATATGTAGTGTTGTTTTTAAATACCATGTATGTATTCAGTGTTTTTCAGTGTGGCTCCACGTAGCAGCAGGTTCTCAGAACCCAGGGGTCTACAATAATCAAACAGATCAAATGCAGCATAACAAACATGATTATTCAACAAAATTATGCTCACATCTTTTTACAGTGTGTATGTGTTGTACTGCAAGTTCATCTGTCACATTGCAGGACTATTTTAAATGTAAAAAAAAAATTTATGTAAAAGATAAAAAATTGTGAAATGTTAAATGGAAACGGTAAATTAAAAGAAATGGTGACCAGTTATAGCAATGAAAATATGAACTACATATACTTTCATTAAAACACAAAAATTAACACACATAAAACAGTCATGCTATGTATAAACTATCCTAATTATATAATCTTGTTCATTTTAAATACTCTATTTATTCAGATTTATTAACATATTTGCATATGTGAAATTTACCAAGATAACAATATTTGCTGTATTTTATTATATGAAATGCAATATATATTACATATACTATTATATAATATTAAACATTTTGTATTTATTTAATTTCAATACTGCATACGTTGGCCCCTTAATTAAGAGTCAATTTCCTGAGTATAGATTTACCTCGCGATGGGCTCGTCTCGATCCAAATAAATATTGATGCGTCCCACAAATCTATAGCAGCAGAAGAAGAAAAGACAGAAATAATGTCTAGTCTGGGCTCTGTGTCAATGTGTGTAAAGACACCATGTGAGGATATTTGTGTGGGGTCTCTGGAGTGTGCGGCATGCTGTTGTGCCAGTCCAACAGTAGTTCTATGCACAGTCAGTTTCTGTAAGAGAAAGCGAGGGTTTGTTTATGCGTTTTTCTGCTGATATATGTGTGTATCACTCACTTGTACAGGTCTGGCTGGGGTTGTTCGCATTCTATCGTAGCGTGTAGTGTGTCCACCTCCTCCGCTGTGTTGAATGCCTTTGTGTCCTGAACTGCATAATAGGTCTTTGTATAGAGAGGCGAGCACGAGAGAAAACAGTCGGCATTCCAAGGTCAAAAACTCACACATATTTCTACCATCTCCCATCTAATATGAATTACTGCCAGTGTGCTTTATCGTGTAGTCAAAACAATTCAGTCACAATGTATAGAATAAAACCCTAATGTTAAGTTTTAGGAATAATAACAGTAACATGTTTGCCTTTCTATAAAATGACCAATCACCTTATGGCTGGACTCTCCATCTAAGCTGGCTGTCGTGACGAAACATGTTCCATCTTCTCGACTGGTGGAGAGCAGTATGAGGTCACATGGGAATGTCTCATTCTCTTTAACCTGGACAATATCACCCACCTGAAAGGTCAAAGAGAAGAAAGGGTCCAATTCAACATTTACAGTAACAGTTTGAATCAAATAACAACCTGAAGATAAGTGAGAATATTTGACATTGTGCTGTACTTTTAGGAGTAGGAAAAAGTAGTGGTAAAGAGTGTAATTTTTATGTCAATGGCAACATCATAACTAACTGCAAAAATTAGGACTGATTCCAAACAGTCTCCAGCAACTATTGTTTGGACAAAACCAACAATCCTGGATCAAACTCACACCATTTGTTGAGCAAATGTTGATACGATAAGACACTAAAACAAACAACAGAAAATACACACTGTGACTTTAAGAACAGGTCATCCAGTGTTCATCATTTCTTGGTAATTTTATCATACGAATATCTAAATATACTTCTGGAGTGACCTAAATACTCAAGTATTATAAGGTTTTCAGTATGTTCCCTGACAGGGTGCTTGAATAACGTAAGATATACTAAAGCTGTGCGACATCAATATCAACGAATCAACTATAGAAAATGAGTTGCCACTTACACAACAGTGGAATAATAAAAAATCATACTCATGAATCTACATAAATGAAAATCCTGATCCTGGTTGTTGTTCCCGCTGGCCTGTCTGCATGTGTTGCGTAACGGATTACAGATGCTGACCGGATTATCAGTAGGAAAAGCTGTAATGGTAAGTATTCAAGCACATTCTCTCTTTATCATCACAGCTTCCAGTGTTTTTCCACTGTGCTTTAGTTTTATATACAATTTTATATTCTATATTGTAAGAGAGAGAGAGAGAAAGAGAGAGCAATAGTTTCAAAATTAAGTAACAAAGGATTCCCACTGCATTGTGGGTAATGTGGGCACACTGTCATTCTGCTTGTTGACAGGCCAACATTCTGTTTCCAAACAGCAAGCTGGCTGTGTAAGCAGAAAGCTGGTTAGTAGAGCGAAACTTTGTTGATTTATTTATCTGAGAATTAAAAAAAAAAAAACACATTTTCAGAGCTGAAGTGTGTAATTTTTAGCATTTTTTTTTTAACCTATGCCAGCTTAATTTGCATACATGGTAAGCCATTTACAAGTTGATTTCACGAAAAATGCAAACACCATGGGACTTTCAAAACACTGCTGTTCATTTAAGAGTCCTGAGCAGCCCAACACTGGCCCAACCAATGGTATGAGTTTGTTTCACCAATGGACTGTTCGGGGAAACCTGTTTGAAAACAGTCATGTTTTTCAAATCCATGTGGTGGCGCTAATGGCACAATTCACTAATCTATATGTTGTCAGTTGTTGTCATATGTTGTCATCCGCACCCGTAGCTTTTGACTCTGTTTGCGTACGACTTTGCCATGCTGGATGACGTGAACTGGACATTGGTTTATAGCATTGTCCGCTTTGTGCCTGATCCAGTCCTCATAGCCCTGCAGAGAGTTAGAGGGGTGAAAGAGACCAATGAAGGAGTGACGTTACAATTATGACACCTATTATAGAGGAAAGTTAAGGGTCTTTTCTTACCTGTTTAATGGCTGTGACCGTGATGACAAAGAAAAGAGGCAGACCGCTGGTCGTAGGACTGGTAGGTGTGTCAATGATCAGCTACAGAGAGAGATGGTGAGAGGGGAAATATCACACATCACGCTGTCACAGAAAGGCCAGCTCATGCTAATAGAACAATTTCTATAAGCGACACCATCACAAACCTGCACTAGAAAGATGATCAGAAAATAGAAATTGGCGATTCTTCTGAACTGCTCAAAGAGATTCTTCGGTATAAAATTCCAGAAAGTATACTGTGGAGAAAAAGAGATATGTTTAACAAAACCAAACAAAACAAAAAAACAAAACAAAACAAGAAACCAAACAAAAAACAAAACTAGAAACAAAACGAAAAACAAGAAACAAAACAGCTTTATGCTTAAAACAAGCAAAAATATACACTTTCTAATGCAAATGCAGCTATTATCTTACACGATTTTACGTCTCAGGTTGTTTTACATTTTTATCATATTTAATATTACACTTTTTTTTCATATAAATTGGAATACAAAAATAAATTATTTAAAAAATGTGTTCATCAGCTAGTAATGGTGACAACAAGACCACCTGACCATATCCTCCTGATTATGCTTTCTGTGTTTATATTTCTATAATGACCAGATGACTGTACATCATCCCTTGTGTATCGTTTTTGGTTCAGATAGCTGTTTGGCCTTGGAGCACATCTGACCTTTGAGGATACAATTCTGTTGTCAGGAAATCTCTGTGGAATGTACGCTTCTGTTCCTGGTGGAGGCTCTTTATGTCCAATATAAACCGTCCTGCTGTCCACCCAGCTCTCCTCTCCTGTACACTGAAACAAAGAGACCGAGAGAGTGGATTATTCATTTATTCATATATATTCATGCATCATCCATCCAATGAGACTGCTTCCTGTTGGAGAACACACTCTTTAATCAGCATTGACACGGTTGGCCGGCCTGACTTGAGTTCACAGGTCAGATTTACCCACTGGAGAAAACAGGTGCACAAATGAGGAACCAGCTTTGAGCTACAACTATAGTTTTGCTCTGATGAGAAAGAGAACAGATACAGAACGTATAGTTCCTGTCATGCTTGATTTGACTCTCAAAGGCCGGGGAACATAGTTTCATAACAAAGAACAAGAGAGAGAGACAGAGAGAGAGAGAGAGAGATGAGTGGCTTTTAGTGTAACCCATTTTATCACCCACCTGGCAAAAATTACAAAACTGCATAATTTAAGATATTATTCATCTACATTTAATGTTACACCGAAGTTTAAAGGAACTGTTGACCAAAAAATGAAATTGCAGTCATCATTTACTCATGTTGTTCCAAACCGAGGTTTTCTTTAACTAAAACTAAAACTATTAAAAACATTTTTGTTGTAATACAGCTGAAACTAAATATATTATAAATGTTAGATGAAAAACGTAAATTCAGCATAAATTAACAACTAACTGAAATGAGTTGAAGCACTAAAAATTACTAAATGGAAATAAATAAAAACTAAAACTTAAAAATAAATTAAGCTAAATTGTAATATTTAAAAAAATTACAAAAGCACATGAATAAATTACTAAAAATTAAACTAAAAATTAAACCTGAAAACATAAAAAACAAAAGCTATTTCTACTATTAAATATTATTTTATATTTAAATAATATTATAAATGACACTAAAATAACACTGCTTCAAACCTGTATGACATTTTTGTCTGTGAATTGAAAATGTATAAACAACAGTGGACCGTATAACAGGTCTGAATCAACATTAGCACGTTTCGCGCGTTCAGATGAAGGGGTAGGGGTGTCTCTAATCTTTTGGTTGGAGGGGTAGGGGTAGGGGAAGGGCCAGACAGCCCTTCAAACGAAGATTTTTCGGGACCACACTTCAAACGAAGGGGTATGAATTATTTCAGCGTAAACCGACTTCAGGGGCAACATGGCTGCCCGAGTGAACAAAAAGACACATAAATGTAAGCATTTTTGGCATTAATAAAGATTTTAACGAAAAGTAATCATTTGTTTTATGTTACATTCAATCGTGAGTTCATATTTACAGTCATGTTACTCAAAGAAAAAAAGCAGAAACCTATATGACAATAAAACCAACAGCCTGAAATATTCATTCTAGCAGGTTTGCACATATCTTAATTTCTTTCTTCATTTTTCGTTACTCATACGTCACTCAACGTGCTACTCTGAAGCATCTGCTCTTGCTACTGCTGCTGACTTCATGCCAGCTTTAAAAGGTTTTGATTATGCAAAGAAAGCTTATCTTAGATCAGGGTGAAGGGAGTCACCTAATACAGTGTGTCTTTACATTCCAGCACAACAAGTAACCTGTCTGCAACCGCAGCGAGTGTTAACGACCATGACGGCATTGGCTGCTATGTGACTCTGCCTTTCTCTCTCCGTCAGGGCGGGATTAAATCCGGCCGAGCCTCTTAAGCGCTTACGTAAGATGAGAAATATGAGCTATTACCACTTCAAAGAATGCCTTATCCAGCACTACATGCAACAGGACATGCACGAGGATTTCTGTCATATAAAGGACATTGAGAACATGTTGAATGTTCTTAAGTTTGGCTTTAAGCGTTTAGGTTTTGGCAGGGATTTAAACACATATGAGGTCATGGTCAACTGTTGACAACATCAGTTATACAAATGAAATCCTTTAGCATTCAGACTGACGTCATGGTCCACAGCAATGTCAAATTCTTCGCATCACCTTGTTCATCATGGAAAATCCTAAGAGACCCAACAGGAAGCCAGTCTGAAGTTTCTCTGTGTGACTCATGCATCTCGATGCCTCTGTGTATTTGTGTGTGTGTGTGTGTGTGTGTGTGACCTTGCAGAGTAAGCTCAGACACCATCCACCCTACACAAATTACTCAAAATGTCTTTCAGCTCCCCCCAAATGACAACACGCATTCAAAAGAAATCAAATTCAAGGATAAATCGTACAAAACACTTTGAAAAGAAAAAACAATATTTTATGCTTTCAACTGAAAAGGAAGCATTGTTAGAGAATAATTCGATTTTTAATAGTGACATTATTTTCAGAACAAATAAGCACATTTTTCCAATTCTTATTACAGTAATAATAAAATCTCATTACTGTAATGTGAAACATTATATTATTATTTATTTAATAATATTTAAAAGTATTTAAAATTCATTTATTTCATACTAAGTGTACTTCAAATTATATATCACTTAAGACGTACTATATAAAATTATCATTAAACTTTATTTGGAGTATTTCTTTATTGCACAATGCATATTTCTTAATATTATGCCTAAAAAGTGTTTAAATATCACTATTAATAAGGATTTTATTGTATTACTGTATTGTATTGTATTGTATTAGGATTGTAAGGATTAGGATTGTATTGCATTATTGTATTATCCCTTTATATCAGTCTTTAAATGCAAGATATTTAAAGTGTACCTTCAGTATACTTGTAGTAGTTCCACTTCAGCACAATCATATATACTTCAGTATATCTTAATTGGAGCTTCAGCACTACTTCCACACAATTACAATGCATTAAGTACAAAATTAGTTATTCCAATTTAGCAGACTTTAAGTATACCAGTTTAGTATACCAAAAGTACAATTGCAGGGTATTTTTATTAAGCACATAAATATATAAATGTATTTGTAGTAGGCCTATATGTAGCACAAAATAAATGTATTTCAAATAAATGTTAGTATATTTTTTTACTAGGGTACTCACACTGGAAATATTGAGAATTACAAAAAACAAAAACAAAAATCCAGATTATAGTAGTTATGGTCATGCTAATTCAGAAAGTTTGCGTAATTTTCAAGAAAACAAAAAAATACTAAAAAGGCTATATTTTTGCATTGTTTTAATGCAAAACAATGTATTTCTTCAAAATATAATGATTTTTATTTTAATTGTAGGGTAAATGTGCCCCTGGTGTTATTTTTAGGAGATTCACCCTCACATATGAGTCTGCTTCACAGAATATGCTAGAAGCGTGGTCAGAGAGAAAATTCCACTATAAACAGGCTTAAACTACATAAAGAATTCTTCTGATTTCACTCTGTATTTTCTCTGTGTTAGAGAGGTGGCTTTAAGCAGACGGCACTGAGCAGCTGGTCAAAGGCTCAGTGAACCCTGAGCCCCATAATCACACCTAATCCACTGCCCTAACACACACACACACACACACACAACAGACAGACCAACACACACAATGAATGAGCCTGTTCTGTGTTCTTCCAGGCACCTGATGGGTCTGGGATGACCTATATAAACCCCACATCCACCAAACTAGCTAGCTAGCAGGCTAACACTAGCTAGCTAACACGGAAAACAAACAGCTTAACCATGGATGAATTGTGGTATATTTACTGTTAAAGGAACAGTTTACCCTTTATCTAGTGCTCATCATGCTGGTATTTTTTTTTCATTAAACACAAAAGAAGAAATTTCACGCTTCTGTAACATAGAAAAAATAACAGCATGTAAATTCAGAATGACATGAGGGCAAGTAAATGATAGCAAATGTTATTTTGGGGTGAACTATTAGCTTGAACTAAGATGGCCTGTTCTGAATAATAAGAGAAATCAGACCAAAATCACTGCTTAAGCTCCCACGAAAACCAAGTACACAAGCTCATAACTGAGAAGCAAACAGTGACACAGGAATGAGAGGTGGCAGTAGTCTGGTCACTAGTCAAAGGGATTATATCATGCTCGACTCGTGCCTGAGCTCCCAAGGAACAGCTCAAGTTACCCTCCTGCACACACGCACACAAACACACCATCGCCAACTGTCCGTGCAAACAACGGCAGAAATTCCTCCTGCCGATGCTGATCAGTGCTGACAGCTGATCCAGGAACAGCTATCCCCACCTATGAAAACAAATAGATTTTGATGACATACTTCAGGATATACAGTAAGTGGCAAAAACTGATCCTAGTTCAGCACTTTCCATGCCACCACAGGTCATACCGACTGAAATGTAACGCGCTCCATGACGACATTTTCCAGTAGTGACCTTAACTAGCTAATGACAATTATAGATATTTTGCTATCAAACCAAAAACAGCAGGCAGTATATGGAGGTAGGAGGGCACATCCAAATATACGGAGGTAAGAAGGAATATCTAAACCAGGCAACATGGATGCATCCTTCATTTCTCATGATATCCTACAGTCCTGTGTTTCAAATGATGTAATAAATGTGCATTCATTTATTTTATTTTATTTATAGATTTTATTTAACTTCAGATTCCACTTCTACTCAATGAGCATTGAAGATAATAAATATAAAATCATTCTAGATCATCAGATCCTTATATATTAAAAGTCTAACACTAATAATAAAAATTATATATATATATATATTAATATTTTGTTTTATATATGCATTTATATATCATTTTTATTATTATTTAAATGGTAAAGTATTGTGCTGTTTATAATTTAAGCTGATTTAAAAATATATATATATTAATTATTTCATTACTTTTATATTATTTATTTTACTTGGCATATATAAACATAAGTATGTCAGAGCGAGTTTATTAGTATAAGCCAATTCAGGTAAACGTAGTGTCAAGTGCATAACTTTTCTCCAAATTCTCATTACAATAATACGAAAAATCTCAGTCTCATTACTGTAAAGCAAAATAAAGATTATTTTATTAATAAGGTGTACATCATATTATATGTCTTATATTATATGGCTTTCATTTATTTTAAAAACATTTTATTATTTAAAGAATTTGCACATTCAAAAAAATGCCAGAGTGAGTTTATCATTACAATAAGATCCAAGTAGTTAATG